ACAAAGAGTGAAAAATGTAAAGGGGTCTGAATACTTTCCGTACCCACTGTATATTACATTCATTGTTGTAGATGCACTGATTGATATTTGCTGTGAGCCTTGTTTACAGCAAATAGGTGAAGTGTTTGCAAAGAAAATAAGGCTGCTGGATAATATATAGAAATGTGCATTCAAATAAATCAGTGCTGAAGCAGGAAGTGCATATAGTGTGTGATGGGACCGTACAGAATCCGTGCGTGTTTGGGAAAAAATGCTTCTTTAATCATATTTTGTGGAGTTGATCAAAGATACATATGTGAACTAAAAAAATGCAGTCTCTGTAAATGATCAGATGAACTACTTCTCCAACATAACTATTTTCCATTTTTTAGAGGCATTTGGAATATCAAACCATTCTCGACTTTATAAATCGACTCACCCTGCCTCTAAAGAAGCCAGACACAGCATGATTTCACGGTGGATGCTTTCTGTCTGTTTGCAACTGCTTCCAATTCCCTTTAAACTCGAAAGGTACCGGCAGTTAAAAGTGAAATAGTGAGAACACAGCCAGAGGTGGTTTGTACAAGGGATGATGAAAGTTTAATTTTTTTTCCAGCACTATAGTTAATAGTAGGCCTATACGATCTAGAGTTGTGGTTTTGCTCACTCACTTTCTGACATCTCACACTTCCTCCAAAGTGTGGCCTTTTTTAAAGAAACAGTGATCAGTCTTAGCTTGCATTTTTTTCTTGTTGAACTACAAGGGGAACCTCTAATACATTGCTGTAATTTACTGTATTTTTGGGAAAATCTGCAGAAATGTTGCTACCACTCATAACATGTGGGGAGAACTTTGATTATTTTTCATATAAGTAGCAATGACTCTCATCCTGCAGGGTATGACTCATCATAAAACATATAGTTGAGTAATAACAGAGGTAAACCTTGAAGCCAAACATTGGACCCGACGGACTTCATCCAACACCTTCCCCCGTGTTTTAAAAAGCATTGCAGTCTAATTCCTCAATATTGCAAAAATCCCGTTATGACTGAAGCCTTATGACGGTCTGCGGTGCTGGCTCAAGCTGCTGCCTCTTTGGTCCAGTGATCAAAGCAGTGAAGCAGCGAGTACTTTTGGCCTCCTACCAATGAAATACTGCCCACTGGAGGAGGGCATGATGGCGTCTTGTGGGTGGGAATTTGCTCACAACTTCACTCACCTCGTCTCATACGGGATCTTCAAAAACTCTTCAGATATTCATGTAAAATTTGTGTGTGTGTGTGTGCGTGTGCGTGTGTGTGTGTGTGTGTGTGTGTGTGTGTGTGTGTGTGTTTTGTAGATGAGCTAAAAGAGAAGCTGCAGGATTTTGTGTCTGAGACTAACAGACAGCATCCAGGATTCATCAAGATGGTGCGTCATGCCAAGCAGGAGGGTCTGATCCGGTCCAGAGTGAGCGGGTGGAGGGCTGCTACTGCCCCAGTTGTTGCCCTGTTTGATGCCCACGTCGAGTTCAACGTTGGCTGGTGAGTCACTCGCAACGAGAGCGGCATGAGGATAGCTCAGCTCAACACAAAAGCGCTGGTTCTTGAGTCACATCACTCTGTGTGGGTTTACGGAAAATTGTCTCATTTAAAAACAAAGACTGTAGCTTGGCTCTTTTTCTCTGCACTCTCCCAAATCAAGATAAACTTCTCCTATTATTGAGACGGTTTTAATTCCTCATTTTAAAAATGTCTAAATGTAAATATGTAAACTGTTTCTGCTATGTTGATCCATAAATATATATTTTTTAAGCAATATTTTGACATTCTGGGAATTTTCTTATTTGCTTTCTTGCCAACAATAGGGCTGCATTATGCAGCCAGTTATCATAAATTAGTTTAAAGACTAGAAACAGGGGGAACAGCTAGCATGGCTCAGACGGAAGGTAACAACATACAGGAGGAGTATGTATTGTGGTAGCTTCATGTTTATCGCACGGACAAAAAGAAAGCAAATCAGAAAACAAATTACCCAACATGTAGAACTTTTTCTTTAAATGTTTTTATTACAGTCTTTTGAATACATTTCCTTGTGGCAAAAACATCACAGGCCGTCTTAAATGTTTTGCTATGTATTTAGACGGAGAACATAAATCAATTTTGATCCCTTTTGCCACATGCACATTAAAATAGCGAAATGTATTGTGTAGTTTTAGTGTAGTGTTTTGTGCATGTTTATGGTTTCATACTTTGAGTGAAAAATTGTATCTTATCAGATGGGGAATAATGGTTTGTCAGACAAATAAATTGGATTGAATTCATCTTGAAACAGTGAAATTGGTTTTTAAAAAGTGTGGTTACATGACAGGCATGAACACAAAGGTAATGGAGAAAACCTGTCAGAACAAATACTTAGTCAAATGACTTTGTCTTTCCATATTTGAAGGGCTGAACCCATTCTGCAGAGAATTAAAGAAGACAGAACCCGCATAATCTCGCCATCGTTTGACAACATCAAGTACGACACGTTTGAGATTGAAGAGTATCCGCTGTCTGCCCAGGGCTTCGACTGGGAGCTGTGGTGTCGCTACCTCAATCCACCCAAGTCCTGGTTGCACAATGGCAACAAGAGTGCACCAATCCAGTAAGTGAACACCACATGTCTTGATAGCCTGAATCAAATGATGAAACTATATGATATTTTTTGCTGGAGCGCAGCAAAGCAGGGTCCAGCCCAAAAATAATTATTAGGTGCTACGCAACAGTGTTTCCTCTGGTGACGTCTTTGCTACAGTGATCAACCATCTGATCCGCTGGTGTTTGTTGCTGCCCAGAGCGTTTGTTGCTCTGTTTTTTTCTGTATCAGTTTGTATTTCCCTTTATATGTGTTTCAAACATTCTGTTTCAATCGTATATTTGTAGGTCATTTTGATGCATGTGTTGTACGAGTAGGGCTGTGTCTGGTCGAGTCCAGAGAGTGACGGGGATGCTCTCAGAACAGACAGATGTTGACGATCAGGGCAGAGAGGAAACTAGCAGTAAATTTGTGAAGTGGCAGTAAATGTAGGTTTCAGTTTGTCCATGAATAAATGCTGCAGCTCCACAAGACACTAGCAGTGGTGGACGAAGTATTCAGGTCCTCTACTTAAGTAAAGGTAATGATACCACTCTGTGAAAATACTCTGTTTCAAGTAAAAGTCTTGCATTCAAGATTTCACTCAAGTAAGAGCACAAAAGTATTAACAGCAAAATGTACATAAAGTGGTTATGTAAAGGTACATGTTTGGCCAGAATGGCCCCTTTCTGAGAGTTTATAGAGGAATACTATACTGATGATTTAACACATAAACAGCATTTTAATGTTACAGCCGATGGAGGTGGAATACGTTTTAAATACTTAATAACACAGTATTATATTTTATGAACTTATCACATGTTTTGTAAATTCTTAATCTGTAAAGTAATAAGTAACTGGCTATCAGATAATTACAATATTACCCTGGAGATGTACTGGAGGTGAAGTTTAAAGTGGCATGAAATGGAAATACGCAGGTTAAGCACAAGTACCTCACAATTATACTTAAAGTACAGTACTTCTGTAAATATACTTAGTTACTTTCCAACACTAGACCCAAGTTCCTGCGTCTCGCTTCTCAACTGCTGAGTAAAGTGAGCATCGACTTCGGCCCTGGAGGCAGAACAAAGTCTCCCCTGTGGTTCCCAACCACAGTCTGGAAGCTGAAGCAGGAAAGTTATCTTACTATGTTTTCTGTAAGACTAACATTTGAGGCTGTGGGCATGTTCGTTATTGTCATGGGATGCAAACTAGGCCTGGTCTGTTTAACAAAGTAATGCAAACCACTGCCTGTCCACCGTGACTCAAATAGGACAATAACACTGTAGATGAGTAATCCAGAACAGTGTGTTGAAAATAACAGATTATATTGTTGCATTTATTCAATTAAAGATGCAATTCTAATCCAATACACTTTTTGTCGAATTTAGCAAATATCTACTAATAGCTAGCTGTCCGTTGTGTGCGCGTGCTGAAAAATGATCTGGTGTTCATTCACAGTCCTGCATCTGTAAATGGGAAACAAACAAAGTGGCTTGAACCGAGTCACACAACACTATTCCAGCCAATCAGCAACAGGTGTTGGTGTTCGTACACAGGACAACGTAAAGGCCATGGATGTATTAAGGTGAAGGCAGTGAAAGCGTGAGGGGCAGTAAATCTGAAGGGGGTTATTTGTTTGGGTGATGAGTTCAAATAATCCTTTCTCCAGAATCACTGACTCCACCTTTAAAGCAGTACTCAATTATTTGATTTAAACATAGCTTAACCATGTCATGTGATATGCTACTTCAGTACATTTTCACAACAAATAATCCAGGGACCACTACAGACAATTGAACATGAGCATTGAATATACAGGAATTCACATTATAGACATGACCACTAGCTACCCCTGTAAAAATCCACAATTTAGCGCACTGACCATACATGGTCTAGCCATGTACTAGACTTCAATTTGGTCTTAAGTAACAAATGCTACACCCTGCTAAAAGGTTATTTGTGTAGCATTCATGAGCAAGTCATATGTTGTCAACATCACATTTTTCTTCTTTTCCTTGCTGTTACTATAGCAACTGTGCCAAGCAAACACAACCTGCAAAAGACAAAACCAAACTGATCTTCATAATCGTTTATCCCCCCAGGAGCCCGGCCCTGATTGGCTGCTTCGTGGTGGATAGGCTGTACTTTGAGGAGATCGGTTTGCTGGATGAGGGGATGGAGGTGTACGGGGGAGAAAATGTGGAGCTGGGCATCAGGGTGAGTAATAATGTCACAACGAGGCCATGGGCCATTGTTCATCCAGGTAAAGTATGCTAAATTAACTATGATAATGACACCTAATGGCTGTTGGGAGCAAGGTCACTGAGCCACAATGTCTTCTTTTTTACTGAGCTCATTGAAAAAGTCTCATTTAAAAATGGTGTGCAGTGGAACGACAGTTAGTTAAGAGATGAGAAGTAGAGCTTTAAAGAATGTAGGATGTCCAGCCAACAGCGACACTCAGCCCATTGGTTCCTACTGAAGACAAAAGCAAATATATCGTTGACTAAACAATGTAACATCAAGGTCCATTTAGCAGCTGTTCTGAAGCTTCTGATCATATCACATGATCTTCATCAGCAGTACTTTGAACCTTATAAGTATATAGTTTTATTCTATATACTTACTGCAGTCTTTAGCAGACGTTACTCAAACAGCAGTAAATAGTGCAATTGTTTGGGACTATTTTTAGTCGCAGATGAATACACCTTTGGTGCTCTAGTGAGTATTTACAGCACCAGGACATGTGTATGTGGGATTGAGTCAAAGTACCGTAAACCACAGTACTGAAGCTGCCAGTCGACTTGAGCCCTTCTGTGTGGAGTACGCATGCTCTCCTCTTCTCCGGCCTCCTCCCACAGTCCAAAATCCTGCAGGTCAGTTTGATTGTTGACTCTAAATTGCCTGTAGGTTAGCTAAGTGTGATTGACTGGCATCCTGTCTAGCATGCACATTGTCTCTCCGCGGCTCCAGCCCTCGCGACCTTGTGTACAGGATATGCAGCCACAGATAATGGTTGGATTTTATTAATTACATTGTCTGTAAATTTTATTTTCCAACATGAAACTCGTCAAAGCCCTCTCCACACTGCCAGGAGTAAAAATCCTTAATATACCGTATGTGTTTTTTTAATTTTCTCTGGTGACCTAAAAGTAGTACATTTCTAATACAGTGGCTCTAGAGGTATTTGAATCTGCATTAATTACCTACCATGTGTATTTCTTTGTTGTCAATAGCAGCATTGTTCATTGACAAGAATGGAGGCCATAGTGGCACTGTTGCTATATCAGGCTTTGGCTACATAGACAATATTTGTAACTATGATTAATTCATTGTTGGTTTTGGGCTCTTCGTGGGATTTGTAACCAAATTAATAACAACACTTACATGCTTTGACGGGAACAACACAGTGGAGTAAGTTAACCTTTTAACAAATCACTGCTAATTCATTCTGAAGTCTGACTGATCACTTTAATCCCCTGGTGCTCCAACTGAAGCACATTTGAGAGTTGTAGGACTCAAAGTCATCGTTAACATTAGCAGTGATGTATGAAGAGAGCGCCAACATTGTTCAAAGCAGATAGACGCACTGTGTACGTACTTGTGTTGCGGTCCTCTCACAGTGCTATACTTAATTTGTACACCATCACCAATGCTGACTTGGATGAATATCAGTTGGTGTGATGTACTGTTAAGTTGAGCGGTACCACAAGCAGATGGGCCAGAGAAAGAACGAGCCTCCACAGGGAAACCTAATGATAGCATACATTAATGCAGCTATCAGCCTTTTCAATAACAGCAAGAAGCTAGGGACCACTCCTCCTCAGCTTCACACTGACTAGATTGCACTGTGAGAAGGAAATGGAGACAAGCTTACGCCAGGGCGCTGAATGTGAAAAGATCCATCCTCGCTAATGACAGAGATGCAATCATTTGTAAAAAAAAAAAGAAAAAGGCAGATTCGTCCCATAAGTCATTTTCCTCCAGAAATTACATGCTTTTAGAATTCCTGGGCCTGATAATAATGATTGCTTTATAGCTGGACACATTGATGATTTTATCACATATATTATAAACCAGGGTCCTATCCCTATGTATAAACAGTTTGATTAATCACTGTGCTTCATTGCTCTGTAGTTTCAGTTCATTGTAACACTTCGTGTTGTTTACTTGCTTGCTTGTGTTGGACTGAAGGAACTCGCCCTTGCCTGGAGGTTAATGTAGTTTAGAGTTCAGTAAAGCTTTTGCAACAGAGGGTGACACAGAGAGCTGAGAGCTACAGCACAAGGCTGGTGGACCTTGGCTTGGCCCCAGATTAGCAGTCCCATAGCATGGTCTGTCTGTCTGCAGCGTATTGGTCATGCCTTAAGACCACCTGCCAGCGCACAGACTGGCTGCTGACGGATCCTCGGAGACACACTCAAACCAGGCCAACAGCTACAGGCTTTGGCTGAGGCTTGAAAGGGATGTCCTGGGTAGTGTGAGGGTGAAATGAACCGCTGCTCTCTGTTCACATTTGGTCACAAAGTGGAAGCTGAATATTTCTATCACAATGTACAAGAATTATCATTCTGATGAGGCATTATGTCACAAATGATGTATTCATTTTATGTGTCCATGTGCTCTTTACATCCTTGTATGCATTAATGTGCTGCTCAAGACGTATATTTCTGTTACCCAACCCAAGTCCAAGAGAGGATTAACCGATCCCGACCCAAACAATTTTTTTTATATCTGAACTGCCCCAGGCCGACGGAGTTAATGTAAGCTTAAGCACTCAGTCTGTTACCCCGTCAGTGGCCTGGCAGTCACTCAAATAACAAACCCCAGCACTGAACAAGGCCATCACAGACAGTAGGTCCAGCCTTTTTATTTATTTGTACGCTGTATTTTCACTTTAAAGAACTTGAAGCACCATGTCAAGTGGGCCGATCCCGACCCAAACCCGGATATCATTTCTAAATATTTGTCCAAACCCGACCCAGCCTGGGTATCCTAACTCTACTATGCTATTGTAGTGGTGTATGTGTTGTTGCGCTCAACAAGGCTTTAGAAATCCCTATAAAATCTGATGGGAATTTAGCAGACTTTTATTTTGAAGGGTACATATCAACACAGTGTTCCAGTGTTTCATAAATTGCCATGTGATTATATTCTTATGTGAGTAAATGTGAATGTAGAATTCGTACACTTTCCTAGAGATGAATCTGGGTTGAGGGTTCCAGCCTGTTGTGGACATTGGACAAAACAGCTACTGGTTTTCACCCTTAAAGGTGTCATAAGCAACTGATATGAGACTGAAAAACTATCAGATTTACATCTGTAGGAAAGGGGGCAGCTGGAAACCGTGATCAACCCAAATATCTGAGGCTTCACTGACGGTCAATGCATTTGTTTGATTCTACCACCGCAGCAATGGCGGCAGCGTGAGAGAGCACTTCACATAAATCAGCTGGCGGATTCATCTGCTGACCAAAGTGTATGTGTTGCACTTTCAATAGCCTTTCTTTGGAGTTTAGTCCTGAGCATTTATCCAAAAGAGACCTTGTGAATGCAGGGAATTTATGATGATGCCATCTGTGGCAGTAAATTGCCGAAAAATAATCCCGGGAAGCTTGGCCCTTGTCCACTATAAAACACAGTGCAGAGTTACAGCACTGACTGTCTGTCTGAGCTTCAAGTCACAGTGTGTTGATTTTTTAGATAGATGTGCAAGAAAGCCTAAGATATAGTTTTGTGAAGCAATCACTCATGTCAGATTGTATGGTGGAACAGAAAGCAAATTGGACAGGACCCTGAAACAGAATTATAATACAAAGGATCTCCCAAAACACCTGTGAATACTGGGTGTTGTGCCAGTGAAGCACAGCATGGAACAATGCATCACAAAAACACAAAAGCAGACATCATCGCTCTCAACCAGTACCAGGAAGGTTGAGTTGAGAAATGAGGATCATTGAGGGCTGTGAAAAACAATTATGAGATGGGCTTTGTGCACAGTTTTTATGGAAGTGGCATTAAAACGCCATTACTGTCATAATGGTGATTTACACATTAGATTTCACCATAATATATGCAATTCGTATTCAATATAAGCAACATGTATTATTACCCGCTTGAGCATTTTAAGTAGCAATGTAAAAAAGCTCAGATAACACAAAGAATGAATAAAGGACCAGGTCTTTACAGTGGCACATTATTCTGCTATAATACGTAACATTACAGTATTGTCAATAATCAGACTTTGGCAGCTTGAAAGATGACAACAACTGCCAATTAAGAATCATTTTCATCATGTAATCAATTCATGCAAGTATACAGACATATAATACGATTGAGGGCACAAATACAAATATACATATTTAGATTCAACATTCTCACAGCAGTGGTAAAACATGATGAATATTTGTATATCTAATTATCCTAAATATACCTGTTAGCTTTTTAAAACAGGCTCACTTAACTTTAGTCTCTTAATTGCAGTTTATTGCTTATTTTTAAGCACATTTCAAGTTTCTGAAACTAAAACAGAAGACATGACTAAGTTGACTCAGCATTAACAGTAACCATGAATAAATGACTGATGAGCCGTCTCTCGTTGATGCACACATGGACACAAAGATTCTAAAGTTACATTAAAATCTGCTGTTTTGCCCTTTTCCATCAATTGAAAGGTACAAAAGATTAAGAGTTCTGTGTAATCACAGAGGACACGGTCCAAAAGTTGCACTGTAATGATGCTGAGACTGTAAACGTAGAAGAGCAGAGAGTTTAATGCTGAAAATCTATTGAACCCTGCTGCGTAATCTCACACCAAAAGTACAATCAATGAGAAAGTCTTTTGTCCGACAGAGGTAATGTGAATGGTACAGGAGCCCTCTAGTATAATTATAAGAAATGTCACCGCTTCATGCAATATAAAGCAGGCTTAGTTAAATATAGTAATGCTACTAGAATGGTAATTCAATTCTAACAATGGTTCAAACGGTTCACAGCGACCAGAAAGAGGCTTGTAATATTCCTATAATGTACTGTAAAGAATAAGTATTTATATAAGAGACATATTAACAGTACACAGCTATGAGCTGCCCGACTTCGAACAAACAGTCCACTAACTTCACTCTGATGAGCTTCATTATTCTGGCTCATTTCTTTTAGAATTGATTTTAAAAGTGTTCTAATCACCTACACGGCTTTACATGGCAGCGCTCCAGAGT